TTTTTTTTTTTTTTTTTTTTTTTTCTAAGAAAGAAATAAAATTCAGTGTGAAATATCAAATAGTGAAGAGCCCATATATTTTTGAAACTAATTATATTCGCATAAAATAGATATTGTCACAAAACAATGACAACAATTTAGATTCTATTTCATTTGCAATTAAAAAACAAAACAGTGATTCATTATTCATCGCGTTAAACCTCATTATACATTTATTTATTTCGATTTCACGTAATTAAATTAAAATTAAGTTCCCACCATTATACACGCATTTCCATTGCAAATTTCTTGGATTTTTCGCATAAAAAAAGTAAATTACTATCACTAAAAACCACGATATCTATACTTTTTCTTTCCAACTTTTTTTTCCCCCCTCCTCCATGAAAACGATCTTTCGATCCAGCGAAAGATTGCCTTTGAAATTGATCCACGAAGATTTATGAAATTGGGAAACGTGATGGAATTTAGAAAGTTATACGATAAATTTTATTTCACGTTTCTATAAAAAAAAAAATGTTCATACTTTGCATAAACTTAATAAAAATCTAATATAAACTATTATATTACAACAACTATATACAGTAAACATATATATATATTTATCACATTCAAATATATTTATTCGAAAAAAATCATATCAATCGTTCAACAATGCTAAAACAACGAGTTACCGACTGTATAATTAAATTTCCATAATCCATTTAACTTACCCCCTTTTTTAATAGAAAAATGTTATTATAACATATCGAGCAATATATCCAACAATTTTCACGCGATCGAGGCGAACAATAGGAGAAAAAAAAAAAAAAATTGAAAGACCGATCGGGGCAAAGACCCACTTCCGACAGGTTTATTCACACGATAACCGTAGATCACTTTCACGAGCGCAATGCTTTCGACAAAATCTTGCGTAATACAATTCAAGGTAGTGGCGTGCAATCACAATGCACACCTGCATGTATACGCGATTTCTAACGAATTGCCAAACCGGAACAAGCACCAGCTCCACTGGAATCCGGACAAAGTGGCCGGATTCGAGTGCTTCCAATCACGGTGAACGCGACATAAACACCGCCTCCCCTGGATCGCTCTCACGTCCATTCATCCGCAAGTGCAATGCCCGTTGCATAATTGCCGCGAACCGGTTCGCTCTATCGATACGACGGACACGAGAGATTCATCGGGAATAAGAGGGAGACAGAGAGAGAGAGAGAGATAGGGTGAGGTTTAGAAATCGTTCCACGAAAGAGGTCGAGAGATTTATATCGAGAAATTTCGCGGTTAAAGTCAGTCTTCGTGTAGGTATGTTTTTTTCTTTTTTTTTAAAGAATTATATTAAATCGTGTTTATTTTTGAAATTGAAGATTATCTTTGAATTTGAGAATTATAACAAATCGTGTTTATTTTATGTTATTTTTGAAATTATTTCGAGAAAAATTGGGGGAAGATGAAAGGGTTTTTTGTCCTAATAAGAGTTATAATTATAAAGTTCAATTAATTTTTCTTATAAATTCTTTGATCGAAATTTGTTACAAACATAGATTGGATGCCATAAAAGTATTTATTAATATCTATGAATATAAATAATTGTTCATGTAATACTTTTATCTCCACAAAGTGGATATGTTTGGAATAAATATTTTATTATATATAATCTTCATTAATTTCAACCTAATTTCACCAATCCTTACAATTGCATACAACATTCACTGGAATATTCTTAAAAAAAAAAAAAGAAAGGAATTAATAAACAACATTCGTTTCGACTTTACAATAATTCTGCTCTACGATCTTAAATCGTAGCCTTGACCTTAAAGTTTAGAAGATCGAACGAAGATCTCTCGGAGGAGGGCGCGAACCGCACACGATCTTCATTTAAATCGGGTCATAAGATTGTAACTCGCCTTGGAACTTGCACAAACGACTTGTGCCGTGTCACGATTAATATGCATCGCGTGCAAGGACACAAGACGTGGTGCAAATTCCTATTTATAGCTCGCATTATTAGGTTAACGCCAAACCGATTCGCGCTTTACAATTAGGGGTGGTTAGTGTTATATATGCTCGAAGGTGACGCAGGCGCCCTCCTACAGCAATTTCGACGAGCTATAATCGGTTCATCGACCGGATTGGTGCGATCGAAGTCCCTCCCTCCCCTCTCCCGATTAAGATCAGACTTTTACCACTTTTTAAACGGGGAACGAGCTTTCTCCATTTACGTGATCCTCTATATTCTTCATTTCGTTTTGCATAGTTTCTGTTTCACGTTTTAACGAGAGGGCCTATGGGTTAAGTTGTTGGCATGCGGTGGAGGAGGAGGAGGAGGCGAGTGGAATCTATTAAAGTTCATCGTACCTTGTGGCCTCTCTGTTCTGAAATTTGAAAGAATTCCACGAGCGCGTGTCGGTATTCGTATGACCTTCGTGTTTTTTATTTTTTATTTTTTTTTTATTCGTTACAGTTTGCATAGAAAGAAATTTCCCTTTCGACGAGGAAAAATTGTTTTATTCGTGAAGAAATCATATATATATATATTTTTTTATATATATATATTTTTTTTATATATTATAATTATATCGAGATGATATATATTAAATGAAATTATTGAATTTCTGTCATAAATGATTTACGATTTGTATTTTCATGTTTGGAATAACAGATTGCATTTATTGAATTAAAAAGTATAATTATATTTTTAAAAAAAACTTGTTTATATAAATCTTGAAACATTGTTTAATATTGGATCGATTTATATAATCAATTTATTAATATCATTTTAAAGAGATAAAATCAACCTCTCAAAATTGCCCTTTTGTCTTTTTTAAAGAATAACTTTCCATATAAAAGATACTTTCATTTTCAATTTTCTATTATCTTGTTGTAAAAAATTGTAAAAACTTCAATTTTTCATTTCATCCCCTCAAAGGGATTTCTTCTTAATCAATCGAAGAATCATTTCTCGAATTTTTGCTCAGCTAACTAAATATTATTTATGTTTCATCTCGATTACCAAACTTTTCGCTTTCTCTCGGTCACGTGACAAAACCTCCTTTTTTTTTTTTTTTGTTTTATCGAGCATTAATTACCCTCTTGCAACAAGATACAAAATTTCAACGACAAATTATCAGATCCCTTGGCAAATTTCATCAGGAAAAATCACCGAACGATGGACGAAAGTTAAGCATCGTTCATATATATATATATACATATATACATACATACATACATATAAACGTGCATTTAGTGGTCGAGACAGCTGCATGTTGCATTGCATAATTTACGATCCAGTGGCTTGGCAAAAACCATCCTAGCATCACCACGCGTATAAATTATGGATATCTAGTTGTGCAATAATCCGCTTGAAGCATTCTTTTTTTTTTTTTTTTTTTTCTTTTTTCTTTATTTATCTTTTGTCAAGATTATCGATGCGCGATGGCCGTCCATGTAACTCGTGACCACTATATGCACGACGATTTTATCGAGACAAATCGAGCAAAAGATAAATACTTCTCCTTTTCCCGTTCGTCGAAAGTGGAGCATAACGTAATAACGATTTTTTCGATGTTTTCTCCGGTAAAATTATTTTCCCTGGATAAAATTCACGATGTTTTCTTTTTTTTTCACCGGAAATGTTGTAATAGATCGAGAATATAATACGTTTCGAAAAGCGGTGTGCTCGATCGAGACCGCAATTTTCTTTCGAAAAGAAAGAAATATACATCTCGTATGCGAGTATGCGATCGATCGATTAAATCGAGGTAATCGATTTGGCAAGTTTATAAAATTGGATGGATACGAGTAAATATATTAAAATTTAATGTAATCTGTTATCAAAAATATACTCCATTTGACGGTATTATCGTTGGATATTTCGAGAGGGAAGAAAGTTAATGAAAGAATGTTGGATTAAAAATACGTGTTTACGATTAAAAATGTATATGGAGATTTTTTTTTTTTTTAAGTGTTCGAAAGTTATATGGTTATATAATCCTTTTTTTAAGAAATATAGAAAAACAGAGAGAAAATAAAATTTTGTCTTCAATTTATTTTGGCCAATTATTTATTCGAGAGAAAAAATTCGTAAGAAAATATATTATTTTTAGATATTTTATGGTATATCTGTATGTAAATTATAGCAAGATTGAACATTATTCAAAAAATATTTATTTTACTTTTTGCCCTTGTATTATTTTGTACGAAAGATAAATTATTTATTATTTTATTCAACACTTATGTGTTACATTAATTTTGATTTTATTGCAAATATATCTTTTTGTATCCTATAATTATAAAATAATTAATTAAAATAATGAAACGTTTCATAAATTAATCAAAGAATTTTAAAATTTATCAACAAATATCTTTCAAATTTATTGTTTATTTTATTTGCAGTAATTATTCGTTCTTTTCCCTTATTAATTTTCATTTCAAATAACAATCCTGTATATCTCAACTATAATCAAGATTGCGGAAATAATTCAAAAATAGCTTAAGATAAGATATTAAAACCAAAATATTTCTTTATCGAAAATATTATTTATCCTTTACGCTCGAAATAAGAAAATAATGGATGGAAAAAAATAAAGTACAAATTTTTCCAAAAAAAAAAAAAATATATATATATATATATTACAAATTATTAAACTTAAAAATTATCTTTATCCACTCGATCGAGGAAAATAAAAACAATTTCATTTCCCATTTATCCATTTCCTGATTACAACTATATTAATTATATATATATATATATATATTACAAATTAATAAACACAGATTTGCTATTCATTGCACATTAACATCTAATCGAACGAGGAAAAGTTTTCGTTATGTAACCCATATTAGAAACGTAGCAACTGGCCGCGCCAGTTAGTGAATCTTAACACGTAATTACAGCGAACGAACAAGCGCCTAGCTATTCGTCCTTATTCATCGAAGTGAATGTAACTATTGCGCAAATTCCGACCGCGTAACACCGAAGAACCGTGTTTGTTCGTATATTAGATTTTCCACGCAATATCAATATAGTCATTGTAATTTATTAATTAACCGCCAACTTGCCGACACAATCGTTAAAGTTAAACAGGTTCTCGTCTCATGAACTTTAAAGATGATTATTACGTAATTTGACCACGAAAAGTGGTAGCGCGACGCTAAAAAAAAAATCTCATCGAACAAGCGTGAAAAGGTAGAAGAAAGAAAGAGGGGGGAAAGGGAGGGGGGGAGAGAGTTGAAAAAAGTAGTCGTAAAGAAGTAGGAATTACTTCTTGTTGAACTCGGCGAACTTTTTTTACGAGTTCAACTGTCCCCACCGTTTTTTTTAATTGCAGGAGAGACATTTGCAAGTCTCGTGCTTACGTAAACTCGCCGAATGTTCTCTCTCTCTCTCTCTCTCTCTCTCTCTCTCTCGCTTTCTCTCTCTCTCTCTCTCCTTCGAGGTCATACGTATGAAATTTTCAAATACGTATAACACAATAAAAAGTGCACTTTAATCTCCGATTCTTAATTCAATACGTGAGTTACGAGCTGCTTATCGTGTTTTTTTTTTTCCTTCCCGACTTTTTAATTTTTTTAATTAGACGGTATTAAAAGTGTTTTTTTATTTTAAAGGTTTCTCGTATATGTATACATTCAGAACTTTCGCAAAGATTTGTGAATCGATCGATCGGAATGAATCGTATAATTGAATATATATATATATATATATATATAGATCCGCGCTTCTGTACTTTCTATTTATTCTGAAACAATTAATCGGCTTATTTGTATATTTTTTTTTCATTTTTTCGACTTGATTTAATATAGACATTATAATCAATATTTATGTATTACAAACATTGTATCAATATTTGTTATATTTTTTGTTTTTTTTTTTAAATCATTTGCAAAATATTTGCACACTGTGCATCAATATTTTTTATTTTTATATATTCGTAAAGTGTTGAAGATGGTTCTTGATGTTACTTATAAAAAACTTTTTTTTCTTCTAGTTATGATTGTTCTATTTCACACGTTTAACTCGTGTTATATATTATATTTCAACAAGTTCATTAATATTGATTGATTTTCCAAAAGAATTCCGAGAAGAGCGAAGAAACAGGTTCTTCTCCTAATATCGATGAAAAATAAACCAGACTGTGTGTATTTGTCAAATAATGATCATCAGAAGACGCGTGCAAACGAAAAAAACTCTCGAAACAAGTTTAACGTTAAAAGTTTCTCCCGAAGTTTGTAATTATAACAGCAATCCAGATTCCATAGATTTTCTTATAATAAAGTTAATTTGAGGAGAGCTAACAAGAAATAAATTATTTCAGAAAAATAAAAAAGAAAGAGAGAGAAATGGAAAATAATTAATTTCCACTTTCTCGAGTTAGCGAATTCAAGCGCAAACTTTTAAATAATAATTGTAAAATTTATAACTTGCTTCGTATAAAATTTTAAGGAAAACGAATTGATAATCGAATTCTTGGAATTGGTCGAGTTCTTAGCGATTCTGATGGCCTTAAAAAAAGAAAGAAAAATTGATGAAGTGAAAGCTGACATTTTTCTTAATAAAAAAAATTAATTAAAAAAAAAAATATACCAAAATATTTATCTTTCACCTAATAAATATAAGAGTTGTCTCGCATAAAATTTTAATCGAAATACAAATTTTGCAAAGAGAAGAAAAGAAGGAAGGGAGTAAAAGGAGGTTGAATCCTTTCGAAATCGTGTTCTTAATCAATCTGCCATGTCGTGAAAAGGGAAAAAATAATTCGCGACGCCATCCATGCTGCATTAATCATCGAATGGAAAAAAAGGGACACGAAAAATTCCCCACTGATTTACCGTGACTCGTACAATCGTACTCGAATCGAGAACAAATCGAAGAGAAATCATTTTGCATTACTTACGAAAGAACGTAGAACTTGGGATCGCGCCAAAGGGTGTAATTGCTCGAAGGCACTGGTCTCACTGCAACGATGTGAATCTTCGGCCCGTACGATCGATAAGTTAGGTTACCTTCTCGCTCGACGCGATCCGCGTTCGCTCTCAGCATCGAGGTCAGGGATGCTTGGTTGCACGTAGCCGGTAGACAAAGACCCAAAAATACTTGTCGTGTCTGAAAACAAATTGATTTTCTGGGTTCGATGTGTGTGGCCTCGAGCGGGGGGAAGATGTCACGATGAGGAAAATTGGAGAGAAAGAAAGGGAAAAAAAGAAAAAAGAAAAAAAAAGAAGTGTGAGCGTGTCTTAATTAAATTTGAGAGGTTAGATTGTTGGATAAATAGATTGCAAGGAGATTCAATTTCAAGATTAATTAAACTTTTATTCCCTTCCTTTCTATCAGAGTTTACCTTGTGCCGCGATTTTTAAACTGTTAAAGAGTTCAACGAGCTTTTAAAATTCAATTTCTTTCAAGGTTTCTCTACTTTCTTTTTCATCATATTGCCCTGTTTCTGCTACTTTCCTTTGCGCCACCATTTTGCTACCCACACCGAGAACGGTAGAAAAGCTTCACGGCGCGGTTTGAAACTTGTCTGACGTACACGATGCAATAACGAAACTAAAGTAAAAATATAAAAATACGCAAGATGGTAAACTTTTTATTATTCTTTTTTTTTTCCCCTCTCCATTCTTTAAAGTAATTCTTTAAAGTAAAGAAGAATTCGATATATCGGTCGTTTAATTGATCGAAGAAGGAACTTAAAAATTGTTCTATTGGAATCGCGTTTAATTAATCTTGTGTTTGTTGAATGTCAGGCTTGGATTATTATTTATCTTCCAATATCAATTTTAATTATAGAATCAAAAAAAAAAATCTGCTGATGGGATGATGATTAAATATTAAATAATAACTTTCTTTTTTCATCTAAATGTAAATAAAACTATTATTATTTCCTAATTGAAAAAAAACATCCAAGATGACTTCATTATATTTCTTGAAAACATTAAAAATCGATTAAACTTTTTATATTTTGTACAATAACATCTTTATTACAAGCTTATGCTTCGAAATCTGAATGAAATGCAAAAATAAATTATAAAATAATTCTTGAGTGAATAAGTTTTATTTCCCTCCCTTTTCTCGTTTTCAATAAAATGGATTTTTAAATTCCGTTCCAAGCAAACTTTTATCGATCATCACGCGTTTTTTCACGATTTATAAAACAATTGTGAAACGTCTAACTGTTGCAAGAAAATATCTCGAGTCGTAGATTTTCCATTGAACCTGAATCTTGCCTTTGAATGAGTTTCAAACATCCGATATCCACTGTATGTGACTCTCTGTCTTGATTAGCTTTCGTTCATGAACGTGATACAATAACAAAGTAAAATTACTGCGGACAACGGGAGTTATTTTCGTATGTAATCTGATTAAGCGAGCTCTTCGTAGAAAGAAAATTGATCTACCGATTGTCGCAAAGTTTTGAGAACACAATGAAATCATCGAGAGTTTCAACGGTGTCAAGCAAACAAATTGATTCAACAGTGTTTAGATTTTAGAATTTTTTCGTAGAAATAGAGTAAGCTTTCTGACAATCCACAAGCTGTGGCTCCATTTTATTTTTGATGTAAAAATATAAGATATAAGAAATAATGCATGAAGATTAATGTAATAGTATAGCAAAATATAAATACAGTTATAAATAAAAAACCAATTAAATTTTTGATTTTATATAAAACATTGTTCAATATAAATTTTTGCTTTGGTATAAAATAGAGTGAAATTTTAAATATTATATTTTAATATTATATATATATACTTAAAAAGTATTTTCAAGCAAAATTTTATTAAAAAAATAAAAAAGTGATGAAAATTTTAAGGTAGATTTAAAGAGATTTTCTTTGGGGGAAAAAATTACTGTGTTCTACGTAACACGTAAACTTTAATTAAAATCAGGATTTTCTAGATGAATTTCTTTGTGATGTATTAAAAATTTTGTAATTTGACCGTACACTGTATATATTTGTGTATTTCTATTTAAAAATATATTTTTAGGACATGATATGATGAAGATGATAATAAATTTTTTACACTTGTAAATTCACTTTAATTAATCAGTATTGATAAATTAATTGAATAAATAATTCTTCTTCTTTGAGTCTCGTTGGAAATTCTTATTTGATAAACTGCGTTTAATTAACCCATCTAATAATTTATTCACGCTTATTTGACTTCCAAAGACTAATTAAAACCTGGGTTAATTAAAAGAATTTAATATTTGATAAATATCTTATGTGAACAATATTGTTGTTTTTTAATGATTAGAATAAATAAAAAAATAACTCTTTATAAGAAATGATACTTTAATAATAATAGGAAATAATTTTGTAACACTAAGTTTTAATAAATCTTAAAAAGGATTAAAATTAAAGATAAAATTTTCTAATTTAAATATATCAAAAATTTATTTTTTAAAACGTTTGCCTGGAAAAAACATTCTTCAATGTGATATGTAATACATTACTCCACATATAAATTGTTGTCACTCTAAAATATTATAAAACCTATTATTTACTTTTATAATATTTTAAGATTTATTCCAACAAAAATACTTCCAAAATTTTAAACACTATTGTATTTACATAAAAATCCACAGTCAATTTTATCATATTTTTATCCATACAATAATCACTCGAGAATAATACAATTTAAATCTCCACCTATTTGATTGAACGAAAATTCCATCGACAGAAAAATTAAATAATTGCAAGGAAGATGAGAGAATACTTACAGACAACTCGAGTTCCTTGGGCAATGTTAAGTACATCCTAGCCACGTGAAATTTCAATGGATAAGGCGGTGTATCGTCGAGTTCCCGATGAATTTTGTTATTGGTGGCGTTCAGCTCCTTGCAGAGGGTGCTCGAGCCAAGCCAGAACCCGTTTCCAAAATGGAATTGCGACGAGTAACGGCCACTTGCGTCGAACACTGAGAAAAATAAAATTTTCTTAATAATAAAAAAAAAAAAAGCAATACGATAAATATTCTTATAAAAGAAGAGATAAGATATCACTTTATCATTTCCAATAAACCTTCTTTCTCGTAGAAAAGTTTCGAAGAATTTTCAAGGTAAAGGAAATATCGATGAACCAGACGATCGAAAGGGTCCTTTATTTTTTTCTCTTTTTCTCGATTTCATTTAAAAAAAAATATTTTCCTCTCTCTCTCTCTCTCTCTCTATGCTCGAAATTTACACGAGACTTTGCACATTCCAACTTTCCAGGATTAAATTACGTGATCGTGGTTGGGAAGGTTCATTGTCAATTACGTAAAGCCAGCTTGTGGCCGCACAAACAGAGAAAGTGCAGCTATCTGCCGACTCGCGAGACAACCTCACGAGCCACCAGTGAAAACGCGAACGCAATTTCGTATGAATCTTGAATTATTGGTTCGATTAATTTTTCAACTGGTTATTCCCGTGACATACGTATGGACACGAGAGGAATATAAATACAAAATACAGAGAGAGGATGTACAAATAGAGAAAGTTCCACTCAGTGTATCTATCTTATGTTTAAAAGAATGTGTATATAAGAATATTTATACTTTAGATATTTATGATGATTTATATTACGTATAAATAGAAAATTATATTTTTTCCTCCAATCATATCTGCTCCTCGTTGCATTCGTTTAAATAAAGTTAAATAGCGAAATTAAATATTGACTATCAATGAAATAAATAATAAGCAATTTTTATAATATATTCAGTAACATTTTGACATATATATATACATTTCTAATTAATAAATAATTCCATATGTATTTCACATTACACATCTAGGATATTTAAAATTTAAGAAGAAGAAGAAAAGCGTAAAGGACGAACGAATTGGAAATAATTGCAAGCAACAATTAAAACGTTGGTAGTCGAGTTTATCGATGCTTGGACGCGTGGCGAGAAAAACGATCGGTGTGTTGCAGCACACTTTCGAAACGGTGCAGTGACGGGTTAAGTCGGTTCGGATCAATGTACCAGGCAAAGGTACCCTGCAAGATTACGCGTCACGTAACAACTTGCGCATCTGTGATACTCCTTTGTGGCCGATACTCCATCTACGGTCGGAGAAGTAATTTCCTTTGAAAATTGACGTTTCTCAATTGCGTCTCCGGGTTGCTGGTATTTTCTCCATTTCACGTTTATTATTGCATAAATTTTTAAATGCTTTTCCTCTGTAATTTCTGGACATTGTTGCCCGGACAAGGAAGGAGAGAATAATAAAATTTGTATTCGATTATATTTATGATTATATGCCACTTGAAAGATATACTTGGAGCCGATATCTGCGATATTTTTATAAAATTCTAGATTTTCTAGTTTCTTCTTTCTCTAAAATTCTAGGTTTTAATTCTTTCGTATTACAATATTTCTTTCAATATTGTGAATCCCACTTCAATTCGGAATTATATTGTTATACAATTGATATAATTGATAATAATAATTGAATAATATTTATTTATTTGCAAAGGAATCGTTAAGTTTCAGTTTTTTATTTCAATTATTCTTCATTGATTACAATGAAATAAGATAAGAAGGAAATTTTGATAATTCACAATAAGGAACATCAATTCCTAAAATCAAAAATCATTTTAAATTCCTTATTTAAAATTTGTCGATCTTAAATTCGGATCTTAATAAATCTTAAATATGAAAGGCAACTTTTATTAAAAGTCGTGAATACCAAAAAAAAAAGAAAAAAAAAATTTTTCTTCCACTCTAGTTTCGTTCCGCTCTAGTTGGCCCTACAACAACCGTTCCTCATATTTTAATTTCAATTTTCAAGTATAACGTCGTGCGTTTCGTAAAACCAGAGGCAGATTATATATTTTATACGAAGTTTTTTAATACCAGCTGTTATTTCTCGAGTATAAAAACCATTTTATACGTCTGACCGACTACCACCTACAAATGGAAACTCGATTTGATCAACCTGGATCAAGCCATTTTGAAATATTAAATTAGAAGGCGCGCGTGCGCACAAGAATTTGTTCATCATTCGTAGCCTTTCGTTTCAGTCGAGTCGATCTCGAGCTGTTTATTTTATCGACATTTCGATGTTTAATTTTTTATCAATCGAATTAACAGACTTTGAGTCGTCGTATTTAATATTTAAGCTTAAATAAACCGTAATCGGTTCAGGCAATTTTTATTAATTAATCTACTCGATCTAAGTGGCGCGAAATTATTTAAAATCGGGCTTACGTTTCTGATTGAACGTTTCGAATTGATCGAAGAAAGATAAAATTGCATTTTACGTTATGCAACTCTCGATTGGCCAATCAAGTTGATAAAATAACAATTATATATAAATTGCTCGTGTAAACTAAATTATAATAATGCATAATTTGATTGACTCGGTTGGTCATCCATTAAAAGTTGCCTAATGTAAAACGTGATTGAACGATCAGAAGTTATTTAAACTTGTTCGACATGGACGAGCATTTAAAGTTAATTAACTCAGTTAGTCAACCAAAAGTTGCCTAATATAAAGTTGTAATAGAAGTTGCGGTTTAGAGAGAGAGAGCGATTTTGAATAACTGAATTCTACGTATAATTTTTGCGAATTATTATTACGGTATTCATTATGGTATACTCGTAAAATTTTTTTCTCCTTTCTTATTTTTCTTCTTCCTTTCTTCTTGTAAAGTGTAAAAGTTTAAACTCTTAAACCTCTAAAGGATTATAAAAACTATAGAAAACATTTTTCCTCAAACATACACTCGATACAAAAATTAAAATTTCGATTGAAATATTATTTTTTAATTGTTGTTGAAAATGAATGAATTTCCTTCGTTTCCAAAATTGCAATGATATTAATTCACATCATTTAATCCAAAATAGTTTTTATTTATATATTATTATTGTTGAATTTCGAAAATATTAATTTTCTTCGTTTCCAAAATTGCAATATTAATTTACATCAAAATAATTTTTAGTTATTTACATTATTCGCTAATATTTCCCTATTCTATTATAATACTTTATCGCAAAATAAATTCTTTAAAATGTCTTTAAATTGTCACAACACGGTTTAATATTATGTTCGAGATGAAGCACAGATGAAACTAAATAGACATACTCGTCATCCGAGCTTCTTTCAGAATTTACTACAAGAGGATTAAATCAGCCCTGGTTAATTAAAAAACAGACGTAAAAGTATTTCTCTGCCCTCACAGAGAGAATCATGTCGCGACGTAGATGCACGATGCTCTCCTGGAAAAGGGGTCGAACGATGTCAAAGGGCATTTACGTGGTGGCGAGAAATGGACGGAGTATCCGGAGACGCGGCCACGATTGCGGTTTGGAGACGATCGAATATCGATTGCGCCGATTTTCGCGATTCGATCAAAGTGACCGACGGTCGGTAACTCCGGAAGCAATCGCCTCGAACCCGGAAAATCGTAGGATTCTATTCGAACCACGCGGTAACCGCAGATCGATTCGTCGATTCCCCTCTTCGATAATGATGAACCCTTTCCATCAAGTGGTGATGGAATGGTACATTTGAAATTTTTCACCAAAATTGTACCGATACTCTCGACGCGATTTCTGCCCAATTCGATTATATTTCGCACTTTGAGGTTATAGACGAAGTGAAGAATCGACTGACGAATAAGAAGTTGGAATAATTGTTCGAAGTTTATAATTGTTATTTTTGATATATATATATTTGAGCACGACACGAGAATTTGTTTGGCATATCGATTTTAGAGATCGAAGCAAATATTAAATTATTGGTGTTTGCAAATTTTGATCGAAGTTTATTTATTGAGTTATTGAAGACCGTGACACGGATGAAGAATGAAATGATCGGTGTGTCACTTCGTTTCCGTCTCTTCGTCTCATTCGACGTAAATTTTAATGGCTTATAACTTAATAAGCCTCGACAGATGTTTTTGTTTGCTTTGGCCTTTAGAATAAATCTTCCAAAGATGTTCTATGAATATATTAACATAAGATACACACTAACTGAAGAAAAGTCATGAATTACTAAACGTATCCTTTTTAGAATTTAAAAATTTAAGATTGAAATACTGTCAAAAGATTTTTTTTTTTTTTTTTTTTTTTTTTTCATTTTCCAATTCTCTTGTCTCTTTATTAATTCTAACAACGAATTAAACTCGATATATCCGACAAATGAATTATTCGACAATAGTTAATTCGTCCCTCATAAATAATAATATTATTATATCGATATTAATCACGTTCAAATAAAATTTATTTAATTCAAAACAGTTTTCTTGTATCCTTTTATATCCTTTTAATTCGAACACTTTTAACTCAATCTAAATTCAGAAATTCTATTCCCGATAAGGAACCTTGATGGACAAGATAAATGGTCATTGCGAAACGAAGTATTCGCAATTCACCTAGTTAAGTTCCCCGCCCTGTAAATCAAACTATATATATATATTATATAAAACGTTAGATGTATCACGGTATAGAAAGTAAATCTGTAATGTATTTTATACCGTTATCGTGGCCACCGTTGAATGCCATTTAATCCACTGAAACGCCAACTTTCGATTCGATCGTGGTCAGAGTCAGTGGAAAGGAAATAACGCTTATTCGAATTTTCGTAAAGAAGTTTAATGGCTGTCGAACCGATTATTTTTTAATCTCGATGACGAGGACAGAGAAGTAGGAAAGTTTATAACTTATTGCTATACAATTTATTAGACACGTGGATTATTTATGCAAAATTTTGAGTATACGAAAATTCGAAGTGTATACATAGTTTCTTATTAAGCTATTCCATTTCTTTAATAATGTAAGTAGTGATAATATGATAATTTGATTTCGCATAAAAATTTGCGATAATAATCCAACGATAAGTTTATATTTTTAAAACGGGATTTAAATTTTTGGTTAAAGTAATTTACGTTGAAATGACGTAATAAGCCGTTGATTTAGGTAGAAACGCCTTTTCTGTATGGTCTCGAGCCGCAGGAATTCCAGGATTGCTTTTATCCGTGGAAGGAACAAGTTCGAAAGTTTGTTTCGCGATAGAACGTGCATTCTAGAATGAAAAAGGGAACGCTGGAAAAGGATTGTCGTATTACAATGAAGCGGTAAATTGTTGTTTTCTCTGAGTAATAACACTTTTGACAATCGAGTTTCGTCAACGACGCGATCATACGGTAGTGATGGGATCGAGTACATCGCGAAATATTTAAATTTGACGGAACAAATTTGACAATCGAGTTTTGTCAACGACTGTATAGTAGTGATGGGATCGAGTATATCGCGAGTATCAGATTTGAACGGATGAAATTTGAAAAGTATTTCGAAAATGTAGATCTCTATTTATTTAAAGATCCATTCTTCCTGATTCACATTATTTTTAATGAATCATAGTTTGAAATAAAATTCTCCTAAATTTGTCAACAGGTGAAAATTTAATAACACTTAATAGCACAATAGCATTTAATAGCAGTTCGAATATACTTTCCAACCACTTGTTCTCATTGATAAAGCGTTCGAGATAACCTTCATAAAACTCATCCCGGATTTTGATCTAAATTCGCGCGAAGCTTAATCCCATCGCTGGCCACTCGCCTCGATTAACTTGACAAACCATGACTTTCTCTACATTCCCCCGACTTGACAACGAGCAACGACCCACAATAAATTTCAAAAAAAAAACAAAAAATAATCAAAATAATGAAAAATAACTCGATATCAATGCACACTTGCCAACAGACCCTCCTCAAAACAGGAAGCATCGATCGTCCCATGATTTATCCTATACACGATCTTCTTCTTCCTTTTTTTTCTTTTTTTTTTACTCACTCTTGGCGGCCCACAGCTTTCCATCCCGAAGAGACTCGAGAAAGAATTCCAACTCTTTCCTGCAATCCTTGCCGAGTTTACCAGGCACTCTGGACCATTTGAGAGGATCGTAAAGATCTGCCAGCCATTGGATACTGTTCGCCGTCGTTCCAACCTTCTCCCCCATGAAATCGATATCGAGATCGTCGCGTTGCTCGTTCCCGTCAATCAGCCTCAAATAATTCCTCCAATCAAGCTCAGGATTGTTTTTACCGAATCCGATCGCCAACTGGCCCAGCCCACCGCCCTTCGACGCCTGTCTCTCCTCCTTGTAATCGGTGTCGTTCGAGTTTCCCTTCACCCTTTCCTTCGCCACCGCTCCCGTGTCGCGAGATTTCCCGATTCGCAGTATGTTCGACTCGTTCCTCGAAACCGGGCTCGCGTGCGCGATCGAGGCCAGGATCAGTAAAAAATAATACACGGCCATCTTATTCGATGATTAAACGGATCTATCTCTTTCACGATTCCCTCTTGATATATGCCACATTGATTTTCCTCGAAATCCACTTTCTTCGTTTTTCACGGATCGTTATCGGGATCGATCGATTTATGTTTACAAATAGCCGATTTTCGGCCGATCTATCTCGATTTTCTTGTATCAGATCATGTTTGAAGAACGGTGGAAGGTCGATCGTTGACACGTTGTTGACGAGAACAACTATAATATAAGTTTCTTTTCTTTCTTTCTTTCTTTTTTCGCTCGTTAAACGAGACTCCACTTTCTCACTAATCGAGTTGGATAACTCTTTTTGTCATGATATGCGCACACAGAGAGAGAGAGAGAGAGAGAGAGAGAGAGAGAGAGAGAGAGAGAGAGAGAGAGAGAAGAGAAAAAGAAATGGAATTATGAGAATTGTTTCGAGGAGACGCACACACTAAGGGGCTAAGGATCATGCACTGAATGAAGTGAATCGAGTTAGCAGTCACGTTTACTCGCCGGTTCCCCTTTCTCTCGACGATATACTTCACCGTGGTTTCCCTGTTAGGCCTCCTTCTCCCTCTCCCCTCCTCTCTCTCTCTCTCTCTCTCTCTCGGTGAACACTGTCTCCTCTTGTCACCTTTCAGAGAGACACTTTCCATGAATCTCGATGATCCTTGATGCCAAGATCTTTGCAAGAGTTATGCAACGTGAACAAATTTTCTGAGAGCAAATATTTGTTGGAGAAAATTTGTTTTGATCGAAGGAAATTATTGCGCGCCAAGATTTTTTGAATTTTCACGAATACCTTTGATGAAAGTTTTACTTTATTGTGATTTATGGGTGGGTGTTGAAAATATATATATATATATATATGTTTCTTACTTTTTTGTATTACTATCTATGAAAGGTTTATTTAGCAATTTTTGATTTTTAAATTATATTGTTCGTGCAAATATTTGTATTAATTAAATGTAAGAAGAAAATCTGCATAAACGTTGTTTTAACAAACGAAATTTATCTGTGATGATCGAATGACAGATGGCAATTCTTTTGACGTATGTACTTTGTATCGTGTGATAAATGTATTTTCTTCTTTGATTACCTCCTGGTAATGCGACGTCGTCACTCTTCCTGAGAGAGATTTTTCCATAAATCTCGATGATCCTCCAGAATTCTCTCTGATCTTCGGGAAATACGTTTCCGCTTCTTTCTAGATTCTTGATTTTTCTTCGTTCGACTTTATGATTTCGGACAGGAACGAGTTAATTTGTGCAATTTTTATTTGATTCAAATGAAATCGAAATCTGATTCTTAAATTGCGATATCGATATTCTTATTTCTTTTCTTTTTAATCCGAAAATAAAATTTTAACAAACTTCAAAATCGTTTTCGATCTGAGAAAATATAAAATTTCTATTTTATAATCATATCAATTAAAATAAATAAATGAAGCAATTTATCTTAAGAATAAAGAAGCAATTTATCGACTCAATTTAAATGAGAAAAAATAAGGAAAGATTCTCGAAATTAATTTGAGTGGATAAAAAGTCGAATAAAAGAAATTACAAGGATAACACCTGTTTTCTGGAAAATTGCAATTCAATCGTTACGCAAGGAAACCAGAATCGATGCAATGATTGTTAAGTCTGCGGCGAGAGATCTTTGCATGGAAATTTTGTTGCACCATAATTCTTAGACCGTGTTCGTGAATTGTTTTCCATTGGTTAACAGTGTTTGTAGAAAGCGATGGATATTACACCGATTACTCGAGTTACGAGTTCTGGAATGAGCTACTCTCGTTAGCTACCATTTATATCGACCGAGTCAACGCTTACCATCTGATTTGTCCATTTTATTTTTTTCCTCGCCATTCATCATTCTTCCGCTTATTACCCTTCTCAAAGATTATCATTTATCCCTTTTAACAGTTTCAACAGGTTGTAATTCACGTAAATTTTTATCGTATCCAGATTTTCGTTCAGATTCTCATGCGCCTTTTTATTACATTTATTCTATATTTTTCAACATTTTCAATTAGTAATATATATATATATTTAGTGTGATAAATTTAACATTTTTCTCTTAATTAAATGTTGTTATGCCAGTAAAGCAATAAATATGCAATAAATAAGCGTAATAATTCACCAAGTAACGACAATGAATAAAAATTTAAACATGTATTCCAATATAATAGTTTTATAGATTGAACATTATTTTCCTTCTTTTATTTTCCTTTTACTTTTATTGTAATAAATAAAACATTGATTCCATGGGATTCCAAGAGTTTTAAAAATTGGAATAATTTTTCCATGTTTCAAAATTCAAATATAAAAACTTTCCTACCTCGCCTCTCAAACGAACAAAACCACCTTTAAAGATCCATCGACGTTCTGCTGCATGACGTCACGTCGAAATGAGCATTTCCATCTTCGAAAGAGGGAAACTTTTCGTGGTTACAATTTTTTCTTCGACTTTTTCCGAGTAGAATATTATTCCGCCGAGCGAAATACTGTGGTGGTGGTGGTGGTGGACATATTTTATAGGTCGTGTTCCAGGTCCGAATAAACGGTCGTTGACACAAATTTTCCACGGAAAAAAAAGAAAAAAAAAAAGAAAAAAACCCTCGCTCGAACCGAGATTAAAAAAACATTCGGGAATTCGCATGAGAGGTTTGATACAATTGTGCGCGATATTTTTCGATCGATTCTAAGGATCGAAAGCATAGAAGTTGGTAAATAAATATTGATTGTCTGTCTTTGTTTTACGAGGAATTGAAGCTTATGATCAGATGAGAGATGGAGAGATATTAGATTTATTATTTCATTTTTTTTTGTGATTGGAACAGTTATATATATTTTTATTATTCTTTTAATTATTTGTTTTCCATTAATTAAAAATTTTATATCTAATTGATGAAATCATTAATCCATTCTTTTCTATTAAATCAATTGGTCATCAATGATATCATGCGAATATCCTGAATTTAATGATATTGAATTATTGATTCTTATTTATTAAATTATAGAAATTTAAATCAATTTCGATTATTAGAAACTGATAATCAAATAATTGTAAACCAATAAAAATTCCTTGAATGAAAATAATGTGTTTAATTGATGAAATCATTAATCTATTTTTTTCTATTAAATCAATTGGTCATCAATGATATCATGCGAATATCCTGAATTTAATGATATTGAATTTGATTCTTATTTATTAAATTATAGAAATTTAAATCAATTTCGATTATTAGAAACTGATAATCGAATAATTATTTCAATAAAAATTTCTTGAATGAAACGCCATTTGAAAATTGTTTATTGTTTGGATTCGAAAATAAGGGATAGAAAATTTTATTTTAATTTTTATTTTATGTTTGTATAATTCGATCAATTTTAGAATTGAAAGTTTCCAAAAATATTTTTCACGAATATATTAATAATACATTAATATATATATATTAGGAATTAAACAGCGTTGTTTCGACTCCTCAAATTAAATTGTTATCATTTTTTCAGAGAGGAGCGTTTAAACAAAATAATACACGTTTGAATTTTTTTTTCTCCTGGAATCGAATCTTCCTACTTTCTTCCAATTTTTACGAGAGAAACGTGATGAAATCTTGTTCTCGTGTCGAAATAAGATTTGAAAAATGAAATTCTGAAGAAACTTCCACTCAACCTGATTGCTTTTTCATCCTCTTTGAAGAGTCATATTTTTAAGGAATAACTTGCTAACTTGTTGTCAACTGTGAAGAGAATATTATTTGAGATTTTTACAAATATTGATTTAATATTTTTAAATCTATTTTTTTTTTTTTTTAAGGATAAAGAAAAAGTTTCTTTCTATCAATTATTTAGTAATAGAAACGTATTCTTTTTCTTTTATGTTTTAATAAAATATCTTCCATAAAATTCCATTAAATCAATTACGACCACGATATCTTAAAATTTATCGTTCAGATTTATTATAAATTATACGAAATGTTAATATTAATTGTAATATCGAATATTATATTTCCAATACATCATCAGTTAATAAATTTCATCATTATTATAATCCCAAATAAATCTCGAGATATTCGTTTCAACGAAACTATTTCCAACTATAACTAAAACTATTTCAATAACCACGTGCAAAACTTTTTAAACTCGAAACTCGATCCGATATCATCTTCGATCGTATTCATTAACTTTTCCTCGACTCACATATTTTCACTCATATTTGGGATTTGAGCAACAATTTTTACCCTGCTTGTGAGATACTTTTCTTCGTATCTTCAAAAATTTCTCCGCTTATTTTTTTTTTTTTTTTCTTTTTCCATTTACTCTTCTTTCGTTTGTTTTTCTCGGATTCGGCTTGGCCTCCAGAACGGAAACTACCTTTCAAGGGGATCCGGTTGTCTCGGTTATGCAACCAAGCTTTCTACACACGCTCGATAACCGGTACGCCACTTAACCCTTTTAATACTTCGAAAAAAAAAATATCTTGAGCCGATGTTTTTCGTTTTTTCAACAGGAATTTCTGTAATATTAAAATATTTTTATTGAACAGAGATATTAGAATATTTCATTTTCATTTCAAATGTTATTGCAAAAGCAAATATGAATAATTTCGTGCAACGACAATAAGATACATGCTTCGTTTTATCGGATAGAAAAAACGATACATTTAGCTTTATACTAAGATTAGACTTCATCTAAACTATATAAGGGATAAAAAAAAATTAGCATAGATATTTTATTTAAAAAATATATATTAATTATTATTAATCCAAAATAAATTTTTTTTCTAATGTAAAATTACATAAATTTTATGACAATATAAAAAAAGAGTGTGATATTTTTAAGAGAATTATATTAATTTTGATAATATTTTTCTTGAAAAAAATTTGTAAAATTAATAAAACATATTCGAGATCGAAACCGAAAATCGAAGAAATGGATATTTACTTTCGATAAGTGATAAGAACTCAGAAGAGTTAATAAAATAAAGAGTAAAAAAAT